TAAATATCAAGTTTAAAACAAGATAGACTATTTTCGTAATAAGTACTGGCGTTAATCTTTTGCCAATTACCCCTTTGTAAAATAATCTATAGGAATAAGTCCCTTGTACATCGGATTTTGCCAAGGTTAAGATGGCAGCCTATGATTGAATGTGTCAATAATTTTTTTCCTAATGTCAGTAAAATTTGACTAAGAGTGTGTTTGATTTATATATCACATAAAAAAAAAATGTTCTCCTTATTTTAAGGAAAACAAAAGAGTAATTACCATATAACGTTTTCACATTTCATTGTTATTGTGGAAAATGTCTTCACCTTTCATTTTTTTGGCATTTTCACGATTATTTCCATCTTTCATTTCCTAAAAGGTCATTTTTATCCATTTTCTCAATTAAAAATTGTGAAATGATGAAAATATCATTTCCTTTAAATAAAATAAAAGGAAAAAGAAAAAAACTAATTGCAAATATAGTCCCAACTTTTTTTGAAAAGCGCAAATGAATTTCAAATAAATTATTAAAAGGGTAATTAGTACATAATGTCACTAACTTTCGCTATTATTGCAAAAAACATCCATACCTTTAATTTTTTTGGCATTTTCCTTCTTAATTATAATTTGATAGCTTAGACAATCATTTCTATCAATTTTCATCCAATTTCTCAATAAAAAACAGTATGATGACGAATATACTCTTATATTTAAATAAAAAAGCTAAAGAATTATTGCAACCATTGTCCCAATTTTTTTAAAAAATTGCAAACGAGTCTCCAATAAATTATTTAAAAAATTTAATTTTTTTAATGAAAAGTACAAATGAGACCCAAATAAATTATTAAAAAATTAAAAATTAAAAGAAATTTTTTTTATTTAAATATGAGAATATATTCATTATTTCACAATTCTTTATTGAGAAAATGGATAGACATAATAGTTTGCGTTATCAAAATATAATTAAGGTAATTAGCACAAAACGTCCCCACCTTTCATTGTTACTGTGGAAAACATCAATACCTTCTATTTTTTGACATTTTCACCATTATTTTCACATTTCATTGAGCAAAAGATCATTTTTATCAATTAAAAATTGTGAAATGACGAAAATATCATTCATTTTAAATAAAACAAAAAGAAAAAGAAAAAAATAATTGCAAACATAATCCCAACTTTTTTGAAAAGCTCAAATGAGTTTCAAATAAATTATTAAAAAGGTAATTAGCACATAATATCCATACATTTCACTATTATTGCGAAAAACATCCATACCTTTTATTTTTTTGGCATTTTTTCACTTAATTATAATTTAATAGCGCAAACCATCATTTCTATTCATTTTCATCCAATTTCTCAATAAAAAAAAAGTGAGATGACGAATATACCCTCATATTTAAATAAAAAAGTTAAAGAATTAATTGCAACCATTGTCCCAATTTTTTTAAAAAAATGCAAACAAGTCCCCAATAAATTATTTAAAAAATTAATTTTTTTTAATGAAAAATGCAGACTTGTCTCAATTAAATTTATTTAAAAATTTTAAAAATAAAAAGTTCAAACGAGTCCCAAATAAATTATTAAATAATTAGAAATTTAAAAAAATATTTTTTATTTAAATATGAGAATATATTCAATATTTCACAATTCTTTATTGAAATGAAATTGGATAGAAATGATGGTTTGCGCAATCAAATTATAATTAAGGGAGAAAATACAAAAAAATAAAATGTATGGATGTTTTTCGCAATAATAGCCAAAGGTAGTGATATTATGTGCTAATTACCCTTTTAGTAATTTATTTGGAACTCATTTGCGCTTTTCAAAAAAGTTAGGATTATATTTGCAATTGTTTTTTTTCTTTTTCCTTTTGTTTTATTTAAAATGAAGGTATTTTTGCTATTTCACAATTTTTAATTGAGAAAATGAATTAAAATGACATTTTGAGCAATGAAGGGTGGAAATAAAGGTGAAAATGTCAAAAAATGAAAGATAGAGACGTTTTCCACAACAACAGTGAAATATGAGGACGTTTTGTGCTAATTACCTTATTTAAAAATCACATTTTAAAAATCAGATATGAAGTATATTTAATAAAAAATTAGGTGACAATTTAATATTTTAATATTAATAATTATATTATAAATTAATATATATAACCACATCCCCACCCCAATTAACCTCTCAGGACTCTAATTCATTTCTAGACTCTCTCCCTCTCCCTCCCTCCCTCCCTCCCTCCCCCTACTGGTCAGAACCTCTGCCGCACCCAATTTCTTTTCCCATGACTTGCACCGTTGCTCGGTGAAAATGCTACAACCTTATTATGGCTTGTGTGTTCCTTCTTGTCCATAACCTTAACCGCGAAGAGAGCCACCGGGGAGGGTTTAGGTTGCTATTCCGAGGATGATGACTTGAGTTTGGCTAAGTAGACGGATCCGATATCGCCAGAGTCGAGGCTGTGGATAAAGCGAAGATCGGAGATGGATAGGCAGTGGAAACGAATGATGGAGTCCCAACATGGTTCATCAGATGGAGTGTTGGAGGAGTAAGGTTTGACGACAGTAGAGGGAGGGTAGAAGTGGTGGGTAGAGGAAGAGGTCCAAGTGGTGGTTTCAAAGCATAACCGGTGGAACGGTGGATGTCTTTGGCAGTGGTTGTGGTGGTGGAGTTGAAGCACATGCTTTGTAAATCATCGCCTATGTCGTCCATCCTTGGCTCCAAGGGTTTTTGTTCCATGGCTTACGGCTAAACCTTACAATGGCTTCACTCTACAGTTTTGAAGAAGAGATTGCGTGTTGTGACCAACTATATGGTTGATTTGTGACCAAGTGTTGGTAGTAGATTGCGATTGAGGGTGGGGGTGAAGTGTTTGGTGTATGTGACCAACTATTTGGTTATTTGTAACCAACATTTATTTGTGATCTAAAAATTCGATAATTTGTGACCTATGAAAATTATGGTTTGTGACCAATAAATAAATTTTATGACCTATAATATTTTTAATTTGTGACCAAAAATTAATTTGTGATCAATTAATTTGAAATATGTGATTAATAGATAAGTTGTTGCCTATAAGTATGTAACTGTGATTATTAATAGTATAATCGTGACCTTAATATATTTAATTATTTAGTTGTTACCTGAGATTGGAAAATTTAAATTTATTGTGTGAGTTTTGAATGGACCTATACTTTACATACAACAACAGCTCAAGCCCAAAACAAAATTATTAAAGGGAAAATTAGGCCCAATACTCTCAATTTTTTATTAATTTGATTAATATGTTATTAAATAATTGAACCATTTAAGAATGTAAACTATACGTTCTAAAACCACGAAAATCCCAAAACACTAAAAGAGAAATCCTCCTCACCCACAACTCTGTCTTTCCTTGCCGTCATCCCCATCGACTCTGCTTCAAGAAATCCTCACCCACAACTCCTAAATCTTGCTGCTTCAACCACATTATTCAGTGTATTTGTTTCATAATTCAATTAAGGGGTTTTGTCAAGATTGGGCGCAATTAATGTTAGTTATATCGTTATTAAGGGGTTTGTAATGATGACTTTATCGTTATTAAGGACTTTGCAATAATGACCTTTGTTTCATAATTCCTTTAAGGGGATTTGCCTAGAAATCCCATTTTTTCCTTTTTCATCGAACAAAGGCAAAAAAGGCAGATAGCTCTATAAAGACAGAAGGTGAAGATGTATAGGTGTGGGTTATGTGAGTTTCATGTTTGGCAACTTGGTTTATGATGTCCTTGACTTTTTTGTTACTTCCATTGTTGTTGTTGCTCTAATCAAGAATAACTACAATTTATTTGGAATAACAGCAACTCGTTTGTTATTCACCTTCAGAAGTTACCTCATGAATTCTAGGCTACTATTTCCTAATTTATAGTCTTGTCCAGAATTTTATTATTCATTCTTTTTATTTTGTGATTGTCATTGTTGTCGTAGTAGTTATTTCACTTGGACGTTGATTGTGAGCAATTTATTTAGATATTTAGTTCACATGCATAACATAGTTATTGGGAATAATGTTTAATTTGTTGTCATTGAGACATCTACGTCTTAAGTATAAATATATATAATTGTAATTTGTGTCACTTTTTAAAAATTTTGTTGTTTTTTTGAGTTTGTCACTTTTTTTTTTTGAATATTTGTCACTTTTTTCAGTTACATTCTTAATTTTTATCACTTTTTTATTGACAAACATCAATTTTTAATAAAAGTGACAATGTATGTCATTTTTTTAATAAAAAAAGTGACACTTAACTTTTAAAAGTAGCATTGTGTAACTTTTTTTTTTTTAATTAAAAAGTGACAATTTTTATAAAAAAAGTGATACTGTGTCATTTTTTAACATTATACAGCATTTTTTACTTTAAAAAAAAATTTTCTATGATTTTTCAAAAGACCCTTATTTAAGTGTATTTGCATAAGTTGTCCATAATTAAAACCATTGGCCCCAGCCCAAATACAAACATAGATATCACATTATAACTCTCTCGCTCCAAGTTTCCCCATCAATGTGTCTCTCTCTCGGAATATCGAGCATCACAGACACGAGCCCTCAATTGTTTGAGAGAGGCTTAGGGTGCGTTCTCTTTGCTGTTTTCGGGTCATTTTCTGTTTTCGATTTTTCAAAACGAGAAAACGTGTTCTCTTTACTATTTTCGAAAACGCATTTTAGAAAACGAAAAATTTTTTTACATTGAAAACGCAAAACGGCTTTTCCAGCAAAATCAAGCAAAAATGGAAAACGCGGAAATGGAGTTACTGTTCAGTCTCCCTTCCACAATTATCTCATCTCACCGGTTTCTCTCCTCCAACGCCGATAACCACCACTGCACCACCACTACCACAGCCAAACATCTCTCCATCCCGCCACCAGAAAGACTCAGGCATCGCATAAATTGCAGATTGGAACCAGAAGCAAAATAAAAATGAGTCGCACCCAACCACCGCGCAGCCAAAAATCGCACCACCACCACAGCCAAATTCACACCCAACCACTGCAGCCAAAAATCGCACCACCACCACCACAGCCAAAATCGCACCTACCCACAGCCAAATTCGCACCCAACCACCGTTCATAGAGAGAACCAGAAGCAAAATAAAAAAGAAAAGGGAGAAAAAGAGTCGCACCCAACCACCGCTGCAGCCAAAATCGCATCCCAAACACAGCCAAATTCGCACCCAAAATTGCAGCCAATATCACATCCAACCACTGTTCACAGAGAGGGAAGGGGAAAAAGAGAGTGAGAGACGCGATGGTGAGGATGAGAAGAAGGCAGAGAGACGCGACAGAGGAGGGGAAGAAGAGAGAGACGCGACGTAGAGAGAGAGATAGGGTGGAAGAAACACGGGAAATGATTTGGGGAAAAAGAACGCGTTTTCCATTTTTAGGTTTTGGAAATGATTTTTCAAAATACCAAAAAGAACACATTTTCAACAATTTCAAAATAGACACTCAAAACACAAAACTCAAAACAGAAAACTGAAATACGAAGAGAACGGCTCCTTAATTTCTGGGAACTTTCTTCTCCATTGTTTCAAGGTAGGATATATAAGCTTTATCTCTTTTAACTCTTTTAGATTTTTTTTTCTTCTCCATTAATTTANACAAATTAAAAATTTACAAAAAAAACTCAAAACAACAATTGTCGTTTTGGACGGTTTCAGTTATAATCAAGTTAAAATTTTTAAAACGCGTTTTGGGTGTTTTCAAAACAATTTTTCAAAATACCAAAAAAAAAACACATTTTCAACAATTTCAAAATAGACACTCAAAACACAAAACTCAAAACGAATTGAAAACTCAAAACAGAAAACTGAAACACGAAGAGAACGACTCCTTAATTTCTAGGAACTTTCTTCTCCATTGTTTCAAGGTAGGATATATAAGCTTTATCTCTTTTAGATTTTTTTTTTCTTCTCCATTAATTTACTGCTATTATTTTGCTCTTTTCAGAAAATTGTATTGTATAATTTCATTAAACTGCATCTGGCTGAAATTTATGTAAGTTGTGGTGGGGGAAAGAAGATTTGAAATTAGTTGTTGGGCGAATTTATATTTAGGAAGAGCATGAGCAGTTATAACCTATATTTTTGTTGATTGACGGTATCATATTCCGATTTTAAGTTAGGTTTACTAGGTTATTGTGCATTTGTAGTGGAAGATCCATTTTTTTCTTTTTTGAGACTTGCCTTAAATGTTTAAACTTTTAATTAGTAAATGGAAAATATAACCTTTGAATCAGTGAGGTGTAGTGGAAGATCAAGTCTCTTAAATGAGGGAGGTTTTAATTCCTTAATGGAAAAGTACAACCTTTGAATCAATTAGACTATAATGAATAATTTTTGTTGAATGACAGTGTCGTACTCCATTGTTAATTTAAGATTGCTTGGCCGTACTGCAATTATAGAGAGGAGTATCAAGTTTTCTCGATTTACACTGACTGTGTGAACTTCTAACTGAAGAATTGGCAAAGGGAAATCTTTGTATCAGTAGCCTCACTATAGTTCAATAAGTGGAAGATTCTGTTCATATTATATAGTTCTTCTATGCAATATGTCTGCCTTGTGCATTTGGATTTAAATTGAACCAAAATAGATTTTTTTTTCTTTCTAATTATATTTTAGGTCTAGAAACCCAGTGCTTAGATTCTTCCAAGGAAGTGCACAAATTCTAGTCTATAATTGCAACGTGATTTTGACGTAATAGTGTATGCTGCTTGGCTTTCATCTCGTTTTAGAAGGTATAATCCAAGAAGCAGCAATTTATTTTTAATCAATAAAACACGTTATATGGCTAGATAACCGTTGTTGTGGACTTGTGACAATTAAAAAGAACTTACAAGAATAAGATTAAGAGTGTGTCCTTACCCGAAAGAGAACATGGAAACAATTAACATTATATTAATGTTAGGTGCACTGAGCATCAAGGTCCTTCAGCCTTAACTGTGGGCCGTAGTTTGTGACTACGTTTTGGACGGAAGGTTAGATGTGACGGGTTCCTTTAGATCCAAAAATGGTAAATACGGTTAAAATTTTTTCAAGAGCTGACTTGGGTATTAAATGCTATATTTGTGTTAGATTATGGAAAACATGCTTGAATGATATATGCCTAGATACAAAATATCCATCAGTGGAGTTAACTTGGGTATTGTAGAAACATGGAGTCCAATTTGCTTGATCTTTATGGCGATCCTCATTCTTGCTGCAGATAAAAAGCAATGCCAGTTAATCACATCAAATCCTTGAGAAGCATTACCATCCCAAAGGAGGTAATTCGCCTAGTGAACCACAGAACTTTTGCTGCTGGTGCTAAAGCTAAGAAAGGCTCTAAAGGCGGTACTGCTGCAGATGCTCCAAAGGCATCCATACTGAGCAAAGAAGTTAAATCCACTACAGTTGTTGGTGCCAATATCCTAAAGGACGGTGCAGACCCTAAAGTCTTGCCTGATTCTGAATATCCCGATTGGCTCTGGCACTTACTCGATAAGCGTCTAGCTCTTAGCGAGCTAAGAAGAAAAGACGTGGAAACTCTTCCATATGAGGATCTCAAACGCTTTGTCAAGCTGGATAATCTAGCTAGGATCAAGGAAAATAATTCTCTCAAGGCAAAGAACTAAGAAAGAATTCACAAGTAGTAGTCTTTGTTTTGAAAATTGATGTTTCCGTCTTGCGCGGTGCTTCAATAATTGACTTGTTTTCTGGAGGCGATCAAGTTAAGTTGTTGAATTTTTATCTTATTCAATGATTTTAATCATGAAGAATTAGTAACTTCTGAATTTTATGAAATTTGGTAGAGTTCTAATATTTTTGTGTTCTGTCACTAAGAAATACCAATGTAATGTAGGTTTATGTGCATTGGAGGAGTGAATTGCCCAAATAATCACTGAAGTTCATGTCATGCTTCTAAGATGTCACTGAACTTTAAAAATCAATCAAATCATCACTGAACTTTGCAAAAGGTTTCTGCGAGGTCACATGATTTAAAAAACCACTTCATTCATCACTGAATTTTGCAAAAAGTTTCACAGGGGTCACTAATTCAGTGATCTTCTAGGAAACTTTTTGCAAAGTTTAGTGATCCCGTAGAAACATTTTGCAAAGTTTAGTAATGAATGGAGTGATTTTTAAAGTTCGGTGAGCTCGTGAAAATCTTTTGTAAAGTTCAGTGATCACTTAGGTGATTTTTAAAGTTCAGTGACCCTTTAGAATCATGGCCTAAAGTTCAGTGACTATTTGGACAATTCACTCACATTGGAGCGATGTGCTTGTTAGTCGCATACCGGATGTCTAAGCTAAACCATGGCTGGCTTTGTTCAAGAACCATGAATCAAATCGCACACTAGCATTAATTTTTTCGTCTCTCATGTATATTTGATTTTTTTTTTTTTTTGGGAACAAATCATATATAGCTTTTAATTGGGTCACTCAACATACAATGGAATTTATGATTATCGATGGTGCCAAACAATGATCAATATTTAGAGGTGTTTCATGTGGAATTATTGATTGTATGTTGTCGATATTCACTGACGCACCTGTGTTGCGATACCAACGTAGACATCTATTTTTATTTGTTTTATCTTTTCTATTATATATGGCAACTTAGAGCATCTCTAAGAGACTCTATATTTTTAAAGAGCATATTTTATTATTTGAAGGGCATATATAAAATAGAGAGTTAAAATTTTGAAATACTCCAACAAGGTTTTTATATTTAATACTTAATTTCATCACTACGAAAAAATATTTATTATTTTTCTTTATCTTTTATTTTAATTAGTTTTTTTTTATACTCTTTTATTATTTTTCTACATTAAAAATTGAAATACTTTGAATGTATTTAATTACAGAGAGTGAGTTTGGCTCTCCAAATTTGGAGAGTCAAGCACATTCTCTAAATTAAAATGTTAATTTAAAAAGTCACTTGGAACATGATTTTAAATGTTGACTTTTTAAAATAGAGAGCATCTCATATTTAAAGAGTTTTTGAAGATGCTCTTATTAAATACGTTTTACTTTCTATACTTTTTATTTACCATTACTTTTTATTTACCATATAAATGGCAAATAAGTTATATTTTAACTGTAATTTTATTAGAGGAAATTGCACCCAAACTTGTTTTTAAAGATGACAATTCAAAAATAAGATGTAAAGTTTATTTAATAAAAAATCTGGTGATAATTTAATTATTAAATATTAATAATGATATTGTAAAATTAAATTAATATATACACCCACCCACTCCGCCCATCTATCCCAACCCAATTTCACTCACAAATCTAATTCATTTCCCAACCTATTCCCTCTCTCTATCCACAAACTTTGACACCATTGCAAGAAGATTGACGCTGCTCTCTTGCAGCAGCGCCGACTGTGTGGACCTCTGCCCGTAGGTGCCTCTACTCGGGAACGCCACAGCCGTGAGGACCTCTGCCACCAACTGCATCGCGCAACCTCTTTCTAGTTCAAAAAACATCGTAGGAAGAAATGATACAACCGGAATACATCACACTGCGGTACTATGACACGCTGCTCACGCGACGTGTCGAAAGAAGAGATGATGCAATAGGATACGTTGCGTTACAGTCGATTGGATCTCGTTTTGGATTTATGCGATGATGCTGATGTCGTTGCTATTACAGTTGATGTGATCTGATTTTGGATCAGGTTGTGCAATGATTTTGTTGACGGTGTTTGTAGTTGGTGGTGGTGATATAGATGTGTAGATTGCGCCACTGTTATGTGATCTCTTGTGGTTGTGTAGATCTGAGTGGTGGACTGTGGGTGGTGGTGGGTTACGATGGTAAAGAGAGTGGTGCTAGGTGGGGGAGATAAAATGATAATTTGTGATCATTTTTGATTGATTGTGACCAATAATTAGTTAATTTTTGATAAATTAATAATGTGTGACCTAAAAATTGTGACTGTGACTCACATTTTATTAGGTTATAATTGAGTTGCGACTAATAAAAGTAATCTGTGACCTATAATGTGATGTTTTGTGACCATAAAATAAGTTGTTTACTTATAAATTTTGTTATTTGTGACCAATAAACAAATTTTGATTTTTAAATTTTCAATTTGTGACCGATGATCAAACTGTGACCTATAAAATTTTTGAATTGTGATACTGAAATTTTTGAATTGCGACCAAATTGTATAGATTTGTGACCTTTATATATTTATTAATAAAATATATAATTAATTAATTACATTATAAATAAATTTTA